AGCCATGTCTTGGTAGGTTTGCAGTTGTGCCATACTCTTTACATTTTTGGATGATGGATTGAACAGTGCTCAGTGAGGTGTTCCAAGCTTTGAATATTTTTTTATAACCTAACCCTACTTTAAACGTCTCCACAACTTTATCCCTGACCTATCTGATGTGTTCCTTGGTCTTCATGATGCTGTTTGTTCACTAATCTTCTCTAACAAACCTCTGAGGGCTTCACAGAACAGCTGTATTTATACTGAGATTAAATTACACACAGGTGGACTCTATTTACTAATTAGGTGGTTTCTGAAGCTAATTGGTTCCACTACATTTTAGTTAGGGGTATCAGAGTAAAGGGGGCTGAATACAAATGCATGCCACACTTTTCAAATATTTATTTGTAAAAAAGTCTGAAAACCATTTATCATTTTCCTTCCACTTCACAATTATATGCCACTTTGTGTTGGTCTATACACATAAAATCCCACAAAATACATTTATATTTTTGGTTGGAATATGACAAAATGTGGAAAATTTCAAGGGGTATGAATACTTTTCACTGTAAACACACTTGCCAGCTTTCACGTGAGGAAAGTACTGCCGATAACCGGCAAGTGTGAAAAGAAACATCTACAGTGATAGGGCATTTTCAAAATGATAAAAATTTCATATGGGTACAGTGTTGCATGACCGCACTGGATTTTAATTAGGGGTATCAGAGTAAAGGGGACTAAATACAAATGCACACCACAGTTTTCATATATTTATTTGTAAAACAATTTGAAAACCATTTATCATTTTTGTACCACTTCACAATTATGTGCCACTTTGTGTTGGTCTATCACATAAAATCCCAATAAAATACATTTAAGTTTTTGGTTGTAACATGACAATTTCAAGGGGTATGCATACTCTTTCAAGGCACTGTATGTTCAACAAAGAGATGACCCAATCCAGCAAAGAGATAGCCCATATATTCAGCAAAGGGACATCTAAATCCAGCAAAAAGATATCCCTATCCAGCAAAGATACTGTACATCCCTATCCATTCAGCAATGAGACAGCCACATATATCCAGCAAAGAGACAGCCACATATATCCAGCAAAGAGAGCCCAATCCAGCAAAGAGAGAGCCCAATCCAGCAAAGAGACATCCCCATATATTTAGCAAAGAGACAGCCCAGTTCAGCAAAGAGACAGCACATATAGCAAACATTCACTAAGCCTGCACAAAGTTTTCCATCTTTTGCAGACTGTACATGTGCTGCATAAAATGTACAGAGTGAATAAAGCACTCGTAACTGAGGCTAAGGGTTCCCATGTTATTCTCGCTCCTGTGCCTGCTGGCTCCTCCTCCAATTTCACTTGGCTCCTCCCTGTCTCACAGTTTTGCGGTGATTGTCTCCATGCAGGACCCATGGCTGAGGTGGGATCCCACTGTGTTGTTCCTGATGCTGTACCTGCTGGCCCCTCCCCCTAGTCTCACTCGGCTCCTCCTCAGCTCCACAGTTTAGTTTAAAGCTTTCTGATGGCTGCCCTGGCTACTGCCCAGGTTGAAGCTGGAGGATATTGTTTAGCATTGAGCTGAAGGGAGAGAAGCAGGTGCAGGCGGCTAGATAAAGGTGCGAGTGCCGGGCCCCACTGGATAACTGAACCCTCTACATATGTATGGACTGTCCCCCTTGATGACAGCCCTGCTTCCATGCTACCAACCCGTGATCAATAGAAATTAGGGAAGACTGGCTAAGTTCACCCATGCTTGCTCCTCCCAGACTCACCCTTGACAAACTCTTGTGCATAGGTATGCCGATATATAGAAGTGATCTTTAAGTATGGACTTTGATATACACTGAACATTCAAGTGTATAAGTTCATATTTAACTGTACTATCTGTAATATACTGAACATGGCTGCAACATAGATGTAAGATTCGGGTAGTTGAGATGTGATGTGATCAGTAAACATATGTCATTTTAGATCTAGTTTCATTCTATGTTATTAAAGATAAGTGTTCAGTATTCAATCAGAAACATATGTTCACCAATTAGCACGTGAAAAGACAGAGCAAGCTTCTAGGCTAGAGGTGACACACAGATGTAAATAAAACATTCTCCCTTATGTAGCCAGAGTTTGCCACCTTCTTGAAATCTAAAAGAAGAGCTCTAGCCATTTCGGCTTCAAGAAACCTCAGGGGACCAGGAGAGGGCTCTGAAATGTCTGCCAGCTCTGATTTATATTCACAAATAAGAGAAATCTATTTCATCTCTCATAAAAGTCAAAATATAAGTTGTGGAGAAATGAAAATAATTCCTTCTGATTGGACACATTTTAGGCTACATCTACATGTATAAGTGTATTTGTAGCCTCTGTAGAATCCCAGAGAAATGCACAAAATGGTTATACGGCACCTGATTGCTACAGCTGAACAGTGATTGTTTCTGTCGCGATCAGCCAGATGCACTGGTGTCGGAAATTTTATCCCTGACCCAGTGATTTAAACCGTTCCTGGTCCAATCGAGATTGGGCACTTCAGAACACAGAACGTCCTGTGGGCTGGTACAGGAACACCCCCCAAGGTTGATTGGCCAAGGGCTAAAGTCCCTCCCACATCCATATTTCAATAAATTGAGGACCTTGAGATATGGATGGTGTGTGATTCATACAGAGCTGGTTCTATTTGACTGGCAAATCACGGACTTTCTTTGACTTGCTCCAGTCACAGGATAAATCTTGGTAAAAGTTTTATTCCTGTGTTTATTCCCCTTTTATTTCATAGTGAATAGCCAATTGTGTGTCTCTTCTGTAACTTTTTTCTTTGTACATATTTTACGCACTGCCCACTTTTGGGGTCCTTAAGCTCCAGCTCATATCTCTGGAGAAATTGTTGTATTGTAGTGTCTATGTGCTTGGTCTAAGTTCATTGCCAATCTGTATGCAATTGCACTGCAATGTTGGCAGATTTCATGCAGATTGTAAAGTAGCAGATCTGCCAGATGGAGATTTGTGTGTGTGGTGACCCAGCAAACCAGTCTGCGGACAAACTGTTGGGTGGTGGCAAGCTACCATTTGTTGTGTCTGGTGTGGGGGTGTGTGGACAATGGAAGAGTGATTAACACTGGAATTCTAGCTTGTAGGAGGAATCCTAGAAGGGTGTCCAATTGCTAGACTGCTCCCCAACACAGAGTGCACCAGATTGTATGTAAGATTCGTATCTGCCTGTGTGTGGTCAGCCAGCTGGATTGAAGTGGAGTCTCCCTCTAGTGGTGGCCAGAGGCAGTGTGGGCTGTGAAAGTGTATCACAACCAGTCTTATATGCTCAAAGTCCCCCTCATTCCCTCTTTACCCCAAGTCACAGTGCAAGCCTCAGTTAGCTAGTCGCCGTGGGTGTGCATTTGATCTGTGACAATGGCTATCTTCAAATACTCATGCATGACACTGGTATTATATAAGTGGCATTTTGGAACTTCAACCAACTTGGCATATGTGAGATGTGAGTGGACTTGTGTTCAAGCTATACTGTTACTTAAAAGAAGGAGTACCTTCTTATTACACCTTTGTATGATTTTTCTTCCTGGATAGCCACTTAAAAAATGAATTATTTATCATATCCAAGCGGTAAGAAGGTCAAGACGACTCAATGTCTTTGTTGATCAAGATGTTACCTATCTTTCTGCCCTGACAGCACTTTATCATGTTGTTGTAAAGTGGTCTACTGTATTTATTGTCACATTTTTTGCTGTACTATCTATCTTGCCTTATAAAAAAAAAAAAGTTTTAAGTCATTATAGTGGTATTAAATCCAAAAGCAAAGTGTATTAAATTGCAAGTTACAATTCTTAGATGTGGTAGCTGCATTAGTTTTCTTTTTTAGGCTTTTCCTTCATTTTCATCTGGTTATCTGACTAGTAAAGCTGGCCATATATGGCTCAGTTTTTTCATTCAGTCAGCCAGCTGGATGAAAAACCTGAATTGATTTCCCCATACACATATTCGAGGTGGATGGGAAAATCCTCTGCACTGTCATTGTATTCTGACAGTGGGACTCTCTTGCCATCAGAATACACTGATCAGTGCTGCAGCCAGCTGCATGCGCTAATCACGCAAAAATATACCAACAAGGCTTAATGAAAAGTCAAGTGATAGATCGACTTCTCTTATACCGGAGCGACCACACATGGACCAAAATTTGGCCAGTTAATGCTGGACTGGCCGAATTTCAATCCATGTATGGCCAGCTCAAAGGTGGTTATTTTTCAACTTACTTTAACAGACCAAGCTGCCCAGACAAAGTAGCATTTAGAGGCTTGAGACAAACCATTTAACATTGTCAGGGGTGCATAAAATGGTCAGCTTTTAATAATATATGTAAAATTTTATCCCAAAAGGAAATAAAAACTGTTTGCTGTAACTACTTATAAAGTGTCAGCTGCGGTGCGCCTTCAGTTTGATACTCAACTCCATCTACCGTATTTTTCGCTCCATAAGATGCACCTAGGTTTTAGAGGAGAAAAAAAATATTCTGAACCAATGGACTGCAGAAATAGTACAGGAGATGACCAGAGACTGCGGACACAGTACAGGAGATGACCAGAGACTGCAGACATAATACAGGAGATGACCAGAGACTGCGGACACAGTACAGGAGATGACCAGAGACTGCGGACACAGTACAGGAGATGACCAGAGACTGCGGACACAGTACAGGAGATGACCAGAGACTGCGGACACAGTACAGGAGATGACCAGAGACTGCGGACACAGTACAGGAGATGACCAGAGACTGCGGACACAGCACAGCGGATGACCAGAGACTGCGGACACAGCACAGGGGATGACCAGAGACTGCGGACACAGCACAGGGGATGACCAGAGACTGCGGACACAGCACAGGGGATGACCAGAGACTGCGGACACAGCACAGGGGATGACCAGAGACTGCGGACACAGCACAGGGGATGACCAGAGACTGCGGACACAGCACAGGGGATGACCAGAGACTGCGGACACAGCACAGGGGATGACCAGAGACTGCGGACACAGCACAGGGGATGACCAGAGACTGCGGACACAGCACAGGGGATGACCAGAGACTGCGGACACAGCACAGGGGATGACCAGAGACTGCGGACACAGCACAGGGGATGAACAGAGACTGCGGACACAGCACAGGGGATGACCAGAGACTGCGGACACAGCACAGGGGATGACCAGAGACTGCGGACACAGCACAGGGGATGACCAGAGACTGCGGACACAGCACAGGGGATGACCAGAGACTGCGGACACAGCACAGGGGATGACCAGAGACTGCAGACACAGCACAGGGGATGACCAGAGACTGCGGACAGTACAGATGACCAGAGACTGCAGACAGTACAGGGGATGACCAGACACTGCAGACTGTACAGGGCATGACCAGACACTGCAGACTTTTAGGGAGGGAGGGGGAGCAGGTACCTGACTTTGACACTTCCGTGGAGCTCTCCTTCCCATACTATGGGTGCCGGGTGCCCACTGCGCATGCGCGAGAAGCGCTGTGCTTTGTAAATGGCCCCGTCATCTCCTGGGACCTGTCATGTGTCCCAGAAGGCGCCAGACTATTCACAAAGAGCAGCGCTTCTTGTGCATGCACAGTGGGAACCCAGCTGTCATAGATGCCGGGGCGGGAAGAAGCCGGCACGGGAAGACTACAGCGCTGGACCGAGGAACAGGTGAGTTCCTGCCGCAGAGAACAGCTGAGCGGCTGGCCCGGTATTCTGACATGGTGGTGGCGGAAATACTGGACCGGCCGCTTTATATTCGCTCCATAAGACACACTGACATTTCCCCCCTTTTTTGGGGGGAAAAAAGTGCATTTTACGGAGCGAAAAATACGGTAAATCTGCTAGTCTAATATTGCCCTTTTCCCAGACTGACAATGCTACAGTCCAAAGGTGTCTACTTCACAACTTCACCCAGAATGCAGACAGGAAGTGTAGGATCCCAAGGTGAAAATAAAGAAAAAAAACCTAAAAGAAAAAAAATAATTGTCATAATAATAATATTAGTGAACTGAAATATATTACAATTTTGATTTTGGGTTTAAAACTGCTTTGAAGGTGTTTTCTCAGAAGCTCAGCCTCTCCAGCTCCCCCTGCCAGTAGTGACTTGGCAAACTTCCACCTTTAATATAAAACACTAAGCAGGTTTTCTGGGAAGGAGAGCAGTCAACTGGAACAACTTCAACTTTGAAACTCACAGGGGTTGATTTACTAAAGGCAAATAGAATGTGCACTTTGCAAGCTGCAGTTGCAAGAGCAGTCGCTCCAGAACTTAGTAAAAGAGCAGAAGATCTGCTGCCTGCTGTCATCCAATCATGTGCAAGCCAAAATGCAGTTTTTTTTATTTTCCTTGCACATGATTGGGTATTCTTTGCAAAATGAAGCTTTACCTCATTTACTAAGCTCTGGGGCAACTGCTCTTGCAGAGTGCAACTGCACTTTACAAATTGCCTTTAGTAAATCAACCCCACTTACTGCTTGCTAAGAGCATGTAAATATGTGAATGTCCATAGCCTGGCCACAGGTGCACTAAAACAGAGATGTATCGCATGAAGTCAAAGTTAGCCAAATGCAATGTTGAGTGCTTAGTGTGACCAAAATATGTCACCTAAAGAGCATGAAAAATAAAAACCTGACTAAGGCTCTACCTCTCCACATTTGAATGGGTATATTTTGTTATTTCCTCTAAGAAACATGTAATGTGACATTTAGGACCTGGGAAACAACTCAGCATTGTATCTTTATATACACATATTCTTTATTCATATCCAATATACAAAAGAACCAAATTAAAAAACCACCACTTAAAATCATAATTGGCCAATTATTACAAAAGGCCTCAGCAACTGCAACCCCAACCCCCCCCCCCCCCCCCAAAAAAAAAATCCCTGTAAATATGTTCCTTAAATGACCTATATAGATCCCCTATGACAGGGTATCAGAGTGATCTCATACTGTACATCTCATACTGTACATCTCCCATACAGTGCATAGAAGTCAGGGAAGGGCCCAAATGTATGGTTCAGACTGACCACATGTCATATAGCTAGTTTATCTTTCACCTTAGCACTGCATATAGAAATCTGAAATTTAACAGAACAAGTCTCAAACTTCAGCCTCATTCTGACCACTTGTTGCAGACATTTGCTCAATTTGATTGAGCAGTGCTGGAAGACTCCAAGGAAGGCTTTTATATTTCTACGTACTCAGTTTTAATCATTCCGTTTTGGCGATTTCAATATGGAGGAGTAATCCCTTCTCAATTAGCAACACTGGTCCTCTCACTAGGGATCACTGTAGGTCACAGAACCAGCATTCCATATGTCACAAGTAGTTGCATAGCAAGGGAGACATCAGCTAGGCATACAGTCTAAGTACCCACATTCCCCTAAACAATGACAAGAGATACTTAGCCATCCGTAACAGGCACATGTGGTCCAACCTATCCTATGAGGCATATATAGTCTGGTCCATCTTATGAGGCACTTGTGATCTGGTTTATCTTGTAAAGGAACTCAGGGGTGACCTCCACAGAATGCTGGACTGACCAGTTTTGGCAGTCATGCCAGCTGCAGAGGTATACCTTCTTTTCGCAATCCTGGGTTGCCTTTAATAAATGATAATCTTAAACTGGCCACTGTTGGTGCCAAAACAGCATGACATCATGGCGCACACGGTGTTATGATGTCAGCAAACATGCCATGATGTCACAATGTACTCAACATAATGACGTCACTGCCAAAGCGCAGTAAACAGCAGCAGCCATATTGCTACACCTACTCAATGTACCAAAAGTAAAAAACCAAAGATGGCCACTCTTAGTGCTGCTCATAATGGGCAATTGCCAATATACACATTTTAACAATAAAAAAACAAAAATGGCCACACTTGGTACTGTTGACAGTAGGCAATTGCCAGCATAACAATGAAAAAACAAAAGTGGCCACATTTAGTACTGTTGATATTGGGCAATTACCAATACAGGTATACCAGCATAACCATAGAAAACAAATAAGGCCACATTTAATACTGTTAATAATACGCAGTTAGCAATATACCAATACCAAGCAAGAATGGCCACATTTAGTACTGTTGATAGTAGGCAATGTATCAGTATAGCAATGAAAATAACAAATGGCCACATTTGGTACTGTGGTACTGTGGACAGTAGGTAATTACCAATATACGAGTATAACAATGGAAAACAAAAATAGCCATATTTAGTACCGCTAATAATAGGCAGTTAGAAATATACCAATGTACAGCAAAAATGGCCTCATTTGGTACTCTTGAAAGTAGGCAATTGCTGATATCTGTGCTTGTGTGGGTTTTCTCCGGGTACTCTGGTTTCCTCCCACACGCCAAAGACATGCCGGTAGGTTAATTGGCTCCTGTCTAAATTGTCCTAGTTTCTATGTGTATGTATGAATGTGAGTTAGAGACCTTAGATTGTACACCCCTAGAGGGTTAGGGACCGATGTGAATGTACAATATATATGTGTAAAGCGCTGCGTAAATTGACAGCGCTATATACAGTCAGGTCCATAAATATTGGGACATGGACACAATTCTAACATTTTTGGCTCTATACACCACCACAATGGATTTGAAATGAAACAAACAAGATGTGCTTTAACTGCAGACTGTCAGCTTTAATTTGAGGGTATTTACATCCAAATCAGGTGAACGGTGTAGGAATTACAACAGTTTGCATATGTGCCTCCCACTTGTTAAGGGACCAAAAGTAATGGGACAATTGGCTTCTCAGCTGTTCCATGGCCAGGTGTGTGCTATTCCCTCATTATCCCAATTACAATGAGCAGATAAAAGGTCCAGAGTTCATTTCAAGTGTGCTATTTGCATTTGGAATCTGTTGCTGTCAACTCTCAAGATGAGATCCAAAGAGCTGTAACTATCAGTGAAGCAAGCCATCATTAGGCTGAAAAAAAAAACAAACCCATCAGAGAGATAGCAAAAACATTAGGCGTGGCCAAAACAACTGTTTGGAACATTCTTAAAAAGAAGGAACGCACCGGTGAGCTCAGCAACACCAAAAGACCCGGAAGACCACGGAAAACAACTGTGGTGGATGACCGAAGAATTCTTTCCCTGGTGAAGAAAACACCCTTCACAACAGTTGGCCAGATCAGGAACACTCTCCAGGAGGTAGGTGTATGTGTGTCAAAGTCAACAATCAAGAGAAGACTTCACCAGAGTGAATAGAGAGGGTTCACCACAAGATAGAAATCATTGGTGAGCATCAAAAACAGAAAGGTCATATTAGAGTTTGCCAAACGACATCTAAAAAGCCTTCACAGTTCTGGAACAACATCCTATGGACAGATGAGACCAAGATCAACTTGTACCAGAGTGACGGGAAGAGAAGAGTATGGAGAAGAAAATTAACTGCTCATGATCCTAAGCATACCACCTCATCGGTGAAGCATGGTGGTGGTAGTGTCATGGCGTGGGCATGTATGGCTGCCAATGGAACTGGTTCTCTTGAATTTATTGATGATGTGACTGCTGACAAAAGCAGCAGGATGAATTCTGAAGTGTTTCGGGCAATATTATCTGCTCATATTCAGCCAAATGCTTCACAACTCATTGGACGCCACTTCACAGTGCAGATGGACAATGACCCGAAGCATACTGCAAAAGCAACCAAAGAGTTTTTTAAGGGAAAGAAGTGGAATGTTATGCAATGGCCAAGTCAATCACCTGACCTGAATCCAATTGAGCATGCATTTCACTTGCTGAAGACAAAACTGAAAGGAAAATGCCCCAAGAAACAGCAGGAACTGAAGACAGTTGCAGTAGAGGCCTGGCAGAGCATCACCAGGGATGAAACCCAGCGTCTGATGATGTCTATGTGTTCCACACTTCAGGCTGTAATTGACTGCAAAGGATTTGCAACCAAGTATTAAAAAGGTGAAAGTTTGATTTATGATTATTATTCTGTCCCATTACTTTTGGTCGCTTAACAAGTGGGAGGCCCATATGCAAACTGTTGTAATTCCTACACCGTTCACCTGATTTGGATGTAAATACCCTCAAATTAAAGCTGACAGTCTGCAGTTAAAGCACATGTTGTTTGTTTCATTTCAAATCCATTGTGGTGGTGTATAGAGCCAAAAATGTTAGAATTGTGTCCATGTCCCAATATTTATGGACCTGAGTGTAAGTACCTGAAATAAAGAAATATATCAATATAGCCATAAAACACAAAAATGGCCACATTTAGTACTGTTGATAGTAGGCACTTACCAATGTACCAATATAACAGTGGAAAACAGAAATGGCTATATTTAGTACTGTTAATGACAGAAAATTACAAATATACCAATACAGAGCATAAATCACCACTTTTTATACTGTTAACAATAGGCAATTACCAATATACCAGTACACCGGTAAAAAAATGGAGATGGCCACAACTAGTACTATTCATAACAGGCAGTTACCAACTTACATAAAACACTTGGCCACTTTCAGAATTGTGAATAGTGGGAAATTGCCAATAAACAATATAAAACAAGATTGGCCACATTTTGTATTGTTAATAATAGACGATTACCAATATACCATGACAAGGCAAGAATGGCCACATTTAGTACTGTTAATATTGACAGTGTACCAATAGGAGCAAGAGCAAAAATGGCCACTGTTGATACTGGTAATAGTCAGTTACCACC